TTTTTTTCTGTAAAAACTTTCTTTTTTTTAAATTAAATTATTGTGATGGAAATTAAAAGTAAGACGCAAGAAGCTGAAGAATGGAAGTTAAAATCACTGTAATTAATTAGATTGATGGAATGAAAAATCAGTAGTAAAAAGAGTAAGAAAATTTTTCAACAAGTAATACCATACATACATACCTGTAAATTCTTGTACAGATCAATCAGAGGTAGAAATATCAAATCATTTTCTAAAGTTGATCTACCTACATTCCTGTTCCTTCTCGAACAATAATAAACCATTAATGCGTCAAAATTTAATGACTTCTTCACTAGTATCACTTGATGTTTATTTTCATTGTTTTCAACATTAAATCAAAAATTTTTGAACACAATTGAGATGAAGTAAAATTGATATAAACATAAACATGTTTTTCTTTTTCTCATCTTTTTAGTCTGTAGAAAAAGTGTCAAGATATCATTTCTAGGATGCATATTGTGGACTGCTTTACATAAAATTCACGTTTTTGCGTTGCTTTTGTCAACTTCAAACTCACATAAAAAACGAAAAACGATCCTTATCCTCTGAAATATTTCGGTCTTTCTACTGAGGCTCAGAAACAACAGAATGATGTGGAAATCAATCAACAACTGATTGAGAGGTGAACTACTCTCAATATACCCTCGCAACTCCTAAAGAAGTTTTGTTCTATTTCAGTTTCAAATTATGTCTCTAGACAACCATTCCGACACCATCAAGTTACTTCGTAAATCCTAGTACTCCCTGACAGACCGTCATAAAACAGCTTTTGCAATAACCATTTTGTTCAGAAAATTTTTGCGCACAGCAGGATGAATACATAATTTAAATTACTGAGGTATATTGTGCACAGGAAACTGATGCAATATCTTTATTTTCAGTTCATATTTTTAATATGAATTTTTCCAGAAATGGAATAATATGTCTATGAAAAATAATTTCTTGATGAGAGAAAGTTTCGAAAGTAAACAGAAAAGAGAAAAGCACATGTTTTAAAATATGCAGAAGTTTTAGAAAAATCTCCCAAAACAAAACTTTTGATCATAATTATCTGATTTAGAAAACATACAGAATATTACAATGGTGAAGAGCTTGCTTACACATGTGAGAATTATTAATTTTGTTCCATTTCAAAAAGCATTTCTAGTAGCGAAACTAACAAGTGAGTTCGTGAAGCATCTTTCTTACAAGATAACAAGAAAGCCATGCTTAATTAATTAATTCTAAGATTTGAGGTTAAAGGTACAACAAAAACATAAGTATCAAAAACGATGAAATACATAGCTTTGTTTTTCTCAATTTAGTTAAAGGTTAGAATGTAATGCACGCCAACGTTTTTTAATACTAATTATTGGTAGCTACTGAATAAGTGAAAAACTTGAAAAAGAAATATAAGGAAAAGAAAGATGTCACGCAACAAACCAAGCAGTAGAATGATTATTTCTGCTCGCTGCAGAGAAAGTTTGGAGCCTAAGAGAAGTCTAGGAGATTAAGAGAAGAAAAGACACAGCTACAATATCAATTTTTATATACAAAAGCAGCTTTAAAGATTTAAATTTAAACGATAACAAACTACTCTCATGTCATGCAACAAACCAAAATAGCTATTCTGATGGAGCAGAAGATGTCATGCATTAAAAGTAACAGAAAACAAGGAAGGCAATAATACAATTCAGATATTTCTCTTGCTTGCATTTTTGTGAAGACACTCAAAATGAGTTCACATAAGGGAGATATCAAGAAACAACAAATACTAATGGAGTAAGCATAGAAATTCCAAGGATTTTCAATGTGAAAAAAGTTAATGACTTTATTTGTTGTTTTTAATAAAAAGCAACAATAGATACAGAAGTAGAACTAAAAAATTACGCAACAATATTCACGTCTAAATGAATAGATCAGTTATATTTACATATTCAAATCAAAACTATGCTAAATACTATTAGCAGAAACACATAACTGATCGAAATCAGCATGAAAATTGACATAACAACACTTGATGGAGAAAACAACTTATGTATGAATGAAAAAATTATAGAAAAATATATCACAAAAAAATAAAGATCTAGAGATAACGATAATAAAGCGTAGAACTGCCTCCAAGAATTCGCTAAATTTACAACTGCAAATAATAAGAAACAAATTATGAAGCTTAAAATTCAACAAAACCACAGAAAAGTAGCAAAACTAATATGATAAGCAACAAACAAATTACCTAAAAAGATATTTTCACTACACGCATTCAAATGAATAAACAAAACAGTGTAATAATTAGCTACTTGATTGATAGGTTTTGTAAAAGCAACTCTACTTTTTGTGGAAACCAATCAAAAGTACTCTAAGCAAGAATGACCAAAAGACCCTGCGATAGAAAAATAAGAACACAAGGTACTTACTGATCGCAGCGGAAAAATGATAGTGAAACAAGCCAATATCTTTTCGGCCAGAATAAACTCGATCAAGATAGAACATCTACATGATTTTCCACATGTGAATAATTATCCAAAAGTAATAATAAAGCCAAGTGGTAAATGATGAACTTAATGACTACAACTAGAAAACTTTATGCAAGAAATAAGGAAAGCTAAAAGTAAATACTGCTTATGGATGAAAACCAATGCCTGAGGCCTAAAAAATCTCTAGAAACTACAATCTGCTTCTATATATTGTCGCAAGAAACCCTAGGAACTCCAGCAACCAAATCATCTGAATTTCGCCAAAAGTTTAACTTTGACTTTCCACTAGCAGCCTTCTCTGGAGCCCAATCCCTCTCATCAGCACGGCTTAAGATCTGACTCAGCATCCATTCCACATCATAGCTAAAATACACAATCATATTTGCCCACACAAAGATTTTTAACTCATTTGAAATTAATTCATTAATATCCTTATAGCACCCAAATTGACGCAATATATTTTAAAAGAAAACCTGTTATTCTTGAAAGAAATAAAAATTTGAGTTTTTTGCAAGTGAAAATCCAATACAGTAGGACTGGTTCTGGAGAAGTTTATAAATGATTGCTTAGATCACTAGAATTTGCAAATAACATGTGTGTAGTATTCCGTTTACAATGTTAGACTTTTAAGGGTGAAAGTAAAATGAAACTTAGACTTACATAGCATCGTTATAAGAGTCGTAATCCGCACTAGTTTTCGCTAAAGGCGAATTAATTCCTTTAACAAAAGAGGGTGAAAGAGGTGAATCTATGGAGTACATTGAAGTCACTGAACATGGTGTTTTAAGTGCTGCCAAATCTCGCAATATTCGTTCTGTGCTGCTGCAAATGCTCACTACTATCAATAAATAACTATAAAAGATTAATTTGAAATTAATAAAATAAATCTAACACAATTCTCATAAATTTTCCAGAAAATAATGATTAAATATTGTAGACAGCTATAGACAAACTATGAAATACTGAGTCATTTATAAGCATTTACATGACAGGAAGATCAGCGATGAATTTGTCTGCATTGAAATTGGTAAGTTCTGATCGTCGCACATCTTGCTTATTCTTCACATCATTAACTGCGTCATTAACTTCCGCAAAAGTATGCAATTCTAATGTTTCCGGTCGCTTGTAATCAGTACTCTACAAAAATTTATTTTCAAGTGAATTAATTACGAATTAATCGCAAACAAGCTAAAAGCATTTCTAATGCAGCAAATGAACCAGGCATATCAATCGGCTGAGAAAACGCAAAAAACGATGCTAAAAAAATCAAGTAAAGGATGTGACTATATTACTACAATAATTGCAAAATGAACAAGAAAAAATACTAATATATTATAAATGTATAAAACAGAAAAGGGAACTGTCTATCCCACTGCATTATATTCTAATTTACTAACAATGCTTATGCTATGGTTAGAGATACTAACAGTGATGAGGTGCGTCGGTGGGTTGTTCTCGATGTCATCGTTGGTAGCAGTGTTGCTGCCGGCCGTATCGACAGGTGAAGCTACAATGTCTACATATGATAAACTTATCTGTTTATTCTTCGTCTCCTTATCCCATCCTGCCGCCACTGCCTTGTCAAACATCTGCAACGAAAATTTAGAAGTAATGGAAACTACTGAATTACTTCTAGTTCTAAAAATAAAGCAATTCTAATTTAATTCACAAGGGAATGAATTGTCAATTAAGTTAAATAAAATCAAATTAATTAGCAATTTAATTTCATATAAAACTATATCAAAAATGCTCTTTCTTAAATTTAAATTAAATTCACTTTCATGAGATGAAACTTTCACTTTTAGATTATATAGACGTAGTCAAAATGATGCTCCATAAAAAATAAAAGTACTCTGGTCAAAATTCCAAGAAAAAGAATCCTTTCAACACGAATAAGTGGTGGTGCATTACTAACAACCATATATCAAAAAACGACAAAGACAGAAACTGGAATATTGCAAGAAATGAACACAACGATTTAACATACCAGTGATGACTGAGGACAAAAACTATCATTTGACGAGCGGTTTGAAAATGATTCCGCTTGTGAAAAAGTTTCTCCTGGTGCTGCATGTGCCTGTAAAAAATATTCCTGGTAACATGTATTATTGCTCAGCTAACAAAATAAAAATCAAAACTTCGTGCCGATCTGCAAAGAGTGAAGAAAACAAACACTGGCTCCACTGGTGACAGTGGTACTAGCTGTGATAGTACAAGGTGGTAATTGTCCACGAGCAAGAACAGCACCATATGATGTTCGAACTGTATCAGCTTCCTTTGCGACAGATGATAAAGTAGATAAAGTATTTGTATCTGTCATTTTCGTTCCGCTATTGCTACTGTGAGATAGCGATGTTGTAGATGCTGGTGTAGGTACTGCTGATGACATCGTGGTACTGGCGACAGTTTGAGGTTGTCGCTTCTTCCAACCATCAATTGACGGCATTTCAAAATAGAAACCATCAGTTTCAGGGTCATAATATCTGCAAAATTATATTTCTACGAATAATACTATCGATCCTAGACTGAATCATGAAAATATGTTTGCAACACTGATCTTATAGTTTTTGTCAACTTTCATATTCTTGAAGAATGAATTTATTAAAAATAACTCAGATAAAGAACTAACTGTATATGGTGAGAGAAATAACTGTTATTGTTGTAAAGATAACTACATGTATCAGCTCCAACATGCGGAACAACATTTGCATCGGTTGAAAGATATTTTACTCCATCCTAAAATAGTTTTTAGATTCAAAACTTTTGTAAGTCTTTTTTACTTCTCACGTAAAACTGAAATTTGCAAAATTACATACATTTGAAGGCCAAAAACTTATTACTTTATCTAGCATTAGTTTCCTCAAGCAAGCAGGATTACGTCGACGCCAACCGCGAGAACCTTTCGAATCATAATAAAAGCCATCCGTTTTAGGATCATAATACCTGAAGATAACTGCTACTTGTGCGCGACAAAAGTGACATTATTGCAATTTCAGTTTTATCTGCATACATTTATCGACAAATTAATAAAGTGAATTTAGACCATTCATAAACAGACCAGTAAGCTTCCTTGAAATCGCATACAGTTTTCATCATTTTCTCATCCAAAATAACGGTTTCTTGTTGTTTCTGTTCCGGCGAAGACGGCGCTTTATCTAAAAATTTGCATGTTATTCATACCACCACATCAAAAACGATTAAAATGAATCTGAAAGAGGTATCCTATTATAGCAAATGATGGTTACGACAATTAGTACCGTTTGAAACCAAATTATCGTTATTTTGAGAAGTATTGGAGGTGTTCAAAGGACGCACACATCCACTTTTTTTGTTATTTTGCTGACGAAAACGTTTTTGTTTATTATCATCTTCCATATTGATACTGTTGCCAGATGGCATCGTAATTCCACCATTACGGCGATTTTTTAATACTACATCTTGTAAATTCGCTGTCTCCGATGCTGTCATCGTACTTCCAGATGTGACACCTTGAGGAGATGATGATGCCGAAGCTACAAAATTTAGTAAATCACAGCAATTCATTTCTTTATTATATATCGAGACAAGCCATACTGTAGTGCTCTCAATGATATAGAATTATTTTTTCACTAATGTATGTAAGAAGAAGATAAGGCTTACATAAATTCTGAATCAAATCAATTATTAAGGTGATAATATTATTCCAAGTTTATGTCTTTAAATACTACAAAAAAATATTGTATCTCAGTAGAATGTGTCACAAAGAATATCAAAAAATCATATATAAATAATTTCAGAACATGCACAATAGAAGGAAATCAATCAAAAGAGTGATAAAAGAAAAAATTAAGAGTAAAAAATTTTGGAACTTTTCTTTATCGTCTAATAATTTTGCTGCCGAGAGCAAACTCAAAGCATTCGCTGCTTCTATATGAAATGATCAGAAATAGATGCAGAAGCTGCTGCACATTTACCTTAGCAGTAATTTATTTATAGGGTAAAAAGTCAAACAAGATAAGATGAGAAAGGAAAATAATCCCCAGCAGCACATTTATAAATTACTGCTATTTATTTGTTACCAATCCTGCACGATCAAAAATTCCAAGCTATTAGTTCAAACAACAATTTCTCAAACAGCTGAGAAGTTCAAAATTTCTCATAAAAAAAGAAATGATTACTACGTGGTTTGATAATGAAAATGATGGCAATAACTTGATCATTATTACTATCATAACTATGATATCAAAAGCAGAAAATTTTTAAATTAAATGTAATACAAATTAGCATCATGTCAGATGAATTACTAATAAACGTTTCAAGAAGAAAAGTAGTCGAAGCATACTAATATAAGGTGTGCATTCATATTTTGATAAAAAGGAAAGGAAGTTGAATCACAAATGAAACAATAAAATTCACTGTCAAAACTGAGCAAAATGAATGCATACTCATAAACATATACAACACATCGCTGAAAAAGGTGACGAATTCAACAAAATTCGAATTAACCTTCCAAAGACAATTTTTTTGTCCTTTACAAGGCATTTGGAATAAAACTAAAATTCTATTACTAGCTTCTATAATGTTCTGACTGAATTGCGGACCTACAGTAAACCAAATAATCAAAAATATTCTATATCATCGGCATAAGTAATTAGCATCATTTTTGCTTCTGTTACTGATATTATCTTTAGAATCCTTAAATGCGTCTAGGTGAAAACTAATTACAATCGTCTTATTCATCACAGAATGAAATGAATAAAAACAAGCTGAAAAAAAGGACAGATTATAAAATTATAAAATTATTTCTGCTGCCAAGTAATAAATGTCATACATGCATCTAACATCGTAAAAGGTCAACTAACATGTAATCACCTTTATACGCTATAATGATATGTTAGCATCGATAGTGAAAATAATAGAGGAATGAATATAAAACATAATTTAAGTACTTAAATTTTAAATTATAACTTCATTTGATGATTTTTCTAAATAAAACAGAATGAGCTGATGAGGAAAGAAAGCTCTAGATATTCCAGAATGAAGAGAAAAAAACAACAATCACAAAACGCCCTAAAGTTAGATATATGACTCATACAGCAAACTTTTTCGCCAGAACAACAGCAAGGCTTTCATCTGCGGAAAAATATCTAAACAATTTCGGAGGTGCGAAGAGTATAATTTTGGAAGATAAAATTCATAGATCATCTTTCAGACTTATTCAAAAAATTAACTCACTTTCGGCTAACATGAGAATATTTTTGAATAATTGCAGGTCTCTATTTCAGAACAGTTTAGTATCATCTTAATGCTCCCCTTTATTTTCATTTTCAATGTTTAACCCTATTAACAGTTATTTGCCATGAAACTACGAAATTTTTGTAAAATTACAGGGAAGTCATATAACATCCTAGAAATGATCGTTAAGCTTTTAAATCCAGTAGCACACTTTGATAGGAAAAACCCCCAAAATTTCGAAAAAAAATCATAATGCTGAAAGTGCACTTCTATTCACTTTGACTGAATTAAATTAAAGAACTAAAAGTTAAAAGCGATCCGAGACATTTGCCAGACAGAAGTTTTTTACAACGCATCATATTTTCTGCTTCAAATTCTTCCACAAAAACTCACGATACCTTTTTCATCAAGCAGATCTATCATATCTATTTCTGGTAAAATAAGCCAAAGCATATGATGTTATAACAGATTCTAAGAGAACTGTAGTTGAATCACAAAAATAAATGCAATTCGATTAGTTTAACAAATTCAATTTTCCACAATAACATTTATTTTTAACTATATTGTAAAATATCAGCGAATTATTTGAATTCCAATAATACTTATCTATTAGATGATGAATAACAGTAATAACAATAGCAGCAGAGTGAAAATTTCATACTTAACAAAAAAATTAGTTTAAGCACGATACTTCGGTCTTTAAATCCACAAATAATAAAGTTGGAAATCCATCTTCGGATTATACTCAGTATGTTATGGACTGAAATTTTTTAGTAACGATGAACTAAACAAGAAAGAGTGAAAACCAAAAGTTACCCATGATCAACCTTATATTCTTAAATTTGTAATAAAGAGCTGAATTCTAAGAATGTTGAATGCACTGAGATTTGCATGTTTTACGATTATTACATAAATTAAAAAGATAAGAATGTGATTAAAAGACGATGAAACTTTGCATAAAAAGTAAGAAGAAGCAATGTCTCATTCAATAGAAATAAGTTGAATGGATGCAATTTTTAAAACATTGAGGTCTATTTACCTGATGATAGAGAAACATCCTTCTTATTTTGCGATTCACTAGTCCTTAGAAGCAGGTCATCTGGAAGATACCATTCCAGAGTTTTTGCAGCTCGCACAGGAGATCCGCACTTACTTGATGCATAAATTAAGGATGATGTGGCCGCAGTTACTGACGCAATGGCACCATTTCGACGATAAGACATGTTAGTTGCTTGATGATCTGTACCTACACCAGTTGGTTCAACTGCTCGTTTTGGCAATATTCTCTGAAATTTATACAGAAAAACAATTTTTGAATACCAAAATACTTGCAATTATTTATAAAGAAAGTGAAAAATTTCCATACAAATGTATATGAATTTCATTTACAAACAGAATTAGTACAAAACAAATGAAGAGATGAAATCTATTAACAAAAAATTGCGAACACTGGGCAGATACAGTTACCACGCTGAAATATGAAATATAACAACTTGGAAACCAACGACAAAAGACATATGAGCATTAATTATATATTTCTGTGACCAGGAATAATGCTAGAAAGTGACCCTGATATGACCGAGAAGTACATACAACAACGTGTTGCTTACTGACAGTAAGCGCTTGCATTGCAACCAGCTAAATGCTGCTCGTAAATATTGAAAAGGAACTTCCTTGCCTTTCGCTGGCATTAATACTTCCTGCCACTTTCTACTACTCTGCTCTGCTGAAAAAGGAACTTCCTACTTGTCCTTTCCCTCGTTTACTTATGAATCATAATCACTCATGCGCCTCCTCCTACTGATAACAACTATTTACTTCATCCTTTTAATAATTCACTCGCATTATTATTTTCCGTAAAGGTCAAATTGTCAGTGCTTCCTTATACCCAGTATAAACACAAAGTCATCCAAACAATGTCCCTATTCTTAATGATTGCGTAACTAGCTACTAACATTTCAAGTACATTATTTGACAACGGAAGTGAATGATAATATTTTGATTCAGTGACACATTCACATTCATTCCCTTATTTATTCACTTCCTTTATAATTAACACATAATTATGAAAAATAAAACTACTTTATGAATAAATATATTTTATACTTATATGTTCTCCTTCACTTCCTTACATCCTACTCGTCAAAATCGAGATTTTCACGCTCTATTTAACCTTTGACCTACTGCATGAACTCACTGAATTTCAACCACAATAAAACAAAATTAATAACCATCATCTATTAATAGTTTTCTTTAAAGCAAAACACTTCTACCACTTTAATTCTGTTTAAACATTATTTTTGGGGAACGATAATTTACGGATTTGCAATTGGGCCAGCTAACTTCGGTTTTTCGAGCATGTGCTTAATAATTACTGAAATTGAAAGATAATAAAATCTTCAACTCAACAATCAGATCTCCTTAAAAACAGAACTGGTAAACTTAATTGGAGGCCAATTGTCTCATACATAATATTTCCTAGCGTATTTTAAAGTAGAACTCAATTAGCAATGACAATGACAATCTTTAATCTATCAGAGTTTATTTTTATCAGTTCTTCGATTTAGTTACACAAATGTGGCAACTTGATTTGAAATATTTGCTATATCTATCACAAATTGTGTTATGATAAAACTTCACAAAAAATTTTCTGATAAGTACTTAATTCTTAGCCTTTTAATGTTTTTCATTCCTTTATACAAAAGAAATTGCCAATTATTCTCATACAGCAGCAATAATAAGTTAAAAATCATATTTTTTTTCTCAATATTTCTCTCACAACAGTAATGGTTAATGTTTCAAGATAATTTTACTAAATGAAACAGCAACCAATATTACTATATTCCGTCAATAATAAATTCAAAAATTTTCAATAGGTTTGAAGTGAGTCAAAAATTTCTGTTAGCAATACTGCTTATTTTTAAAAGCGGTTACTTGAAAATAATTGCATTTCTTATTTGTCAAAACATGAATTTAAACTTTGAATAAGCCATAAAAATACTGAATAAATTCAATACAGAGGTGTCTAGGAACAGCTTGTGCAACTACATTCTCCATCAAATCTTATAAATTAAGCTTCATTTATTTTATCATACTATAAGCATGTCTTTTTTTGTTAATTTGAAAAAGCACTACTCAAAACACTTGATGATGAGAATAGCAATTTTCAAAGTGAACAAAATGTCATATCCTACTCTTTCTAGGAAATGTGCAAAATGTGAAGTAAATATTAGGTTTCACAATACTTTTAGATAGAAGACCGCGTTAAAAACATGGAATGACTTTGTAACATACTGAAAAAGAGGAAAGGGAAATTGCACTAATCACAGTATGTCTCTTAGTCCACGACTGACCAAATTACTTTCCAATTACTTTTATTCATAAGCTATAAATCCACAGTGCACAATCTGCATGGATAAAATGTTCTGGTTAAGGATGAAAAATAAACATAACAAAAAGTACATTAAGAACTAAATAAACGTCAATTTCCCAGAAAAACTAATTTGAATAACTGAAGTTGAAAACAATTTAATGCATTTTGCAAGCATTTCAACATATTTTGGATAGAGAGGATAAAACGTGAAGTATGGTTAAAGAAGAATAATTTTTCATTCTAATGAGAAGGAATTTCTGTTCTTGCACCATAAACACGACTTTATATTCTTTGGAAACATTTCAGCTACTGAGTTGAATAATAGTGGAATCAACAGACTTAATTTTTGAAAAGATGCTTGCATTAGGCAAAACATGAATCTTACATGAATAAACGTGTGAAAAGTGATAAGAAAAAATAAAGTTCATTTACCTTTTTTGGTGATGGTACACCATGGTTCCGCACTATTGAAGACATTGGAATAGTAGTAGTAGTGAGAGTTATGGTAGTGCTGGTGGCAACAGCAGTAACACTGCCATCCTTATAACCGGTGACAAGAATTTTCGGAGCAGCCGGCATCTTCTTCCTTAAAACTAAATAGTACCAGAAGAAATAACGTTAATGGCAGTAGGAATCGATTGATCGATCGATAGCTAATGATTACAGTTCCTTAGCTGATCACAGCAAAAAACCAAAGCAGGTAAATCTAATATTATCAATTTAGTATTTGTTGTGCATCAAGATTTTTCCTCTTCAATAAATTTAACGTGAATTTCGAGTAACCAATAATAACAATAATGTATATTAGCGATAACAATAATAGCAATGACAATATTATTAATTGTCAAAATTTCTCGCTCACCCAATTTACTTGTGATTAAATCTGTGAGCGAGAAAGACTTTAAAATAATTCCTAATTTTTGAGATGCCTTTTAAAGACAAACTGCAAAAAGAATGCACAAACGAACGGCCTGGAATAGACACAACATGAGTAACGCTTTCATTCCAACTTTGAACTTTTACAGAAATGAGAGGAAGGAAAAGGTCGATTTTATTGCAGAAGCCTACAAGTATTATGCAGCACTGGAATGAATGCAAGCATTAATTAAGTTGTTCCAACAAAAAAAACCATCACCCACATTGGTACCTTACTTGCTTCCGTTTACAATGTTTTATTAGTAATGTAAAATGATTAAAGGCTGAAGTTCTTAGAAATCTGTTCACTTTTCTTTATTTTGGATTTGTAAATTTTGAAACTATTGTCAAACAAAATAAGATGACACAAGATTCTGAATTTCCTTTAGTTTTCTAATAAATTTTAATGCATGAAAAGTTCCTATGAGTAAGCCTTACTCTGTAATTATTACTTTACTTGACATTTTAGCATTCCAGTTTCAAGAAAATTCTGAGAAATCGACTTTTGATAACATCTCATATTTTTAAATCATATCAATCAATATAATACGTCACATTAGATATGACGTGTGATAGCAATGCAAAGGTAGTTTAAGCAAACGTAAAGATTAAAAATGGCTGATAAACTATGTATATGCGCACATCAACCAGTAGTAGAGCATAAATGTCATAAGATTACACTTAAATAAAGTACTATGAAAAATCTGATCATTTATCAACTAAACATCATAATTCCAGATAATAATTTCAAAAACCGATATAAAAGCTGAAAAGTACCATTAAACAGTAAGTAATGGATATCCGATGGAAAGTAGAAAAAAACTTTTTATTTTTCGTTCATACCTTGCTGGAAACTTGTAATACACAAAGAATCAAAAAATCCTTAAATAGTCAAATACAAACCAAAAATATCGAGAATGAAGTATTTGGTTTCGCCAGAACAACGATCAGTGTAAGAAGTTATGTAAACTTGTCAGAAACTGCTACTAGTTATTTATTTATAGAGATACAATACAGTGTTGTTAAAAACAACAGATAGTGAAATCTGGGCAGATTACATTATATCAAGTAAATAAATGGCACCAATTAGCATAAAATTTAATGATAAACATACATTTGACCAATTCGCCTCCTATAACTAATTCCATCCATCAATTATTAGATACGGAAAATAAAAAATTAATGAATGATTCATGTGAAACAGTACAGCGAGAAAAAGATCTCGTCACTATGTCTTCAACTTTTTATTCAAATAATTCTGATTTCTATTAATTAACTACTGAAGGTAAAATGAAAAAAGATAACAGAAAGGGTGAAAATCGCTTGAAGACCACCCATCTCCCTATCATCTGTCCCGTATACAGCCTCTGCTACTTTCTCCCAAACTCAATTTCTATAACTTGTTTTCTTCTACACATTTCAATGCTTATCATATCTTTTTATTGTCAATTACTTCACACCCAATAGAATTTTGCACCAGTAGCAAAGCAGCTCAAAACCACTTTCAGTCCAGTTTCTTAAAATTAATTACTGATTGCACGATATAATAATCTATAGGTAGATGAAAAAAGAGCACGAATTATAACAATCATTATCATTTTTCTCAAAGAAGCATTGAATGAAACTCAGACAGTGATAAAAACTTAATTTAAAAAGATAGGAGATAGATATATAAATAAATAGATGAACAGAAATAGAACTGAGTCATTTTACTGTGTTGAACAGGTTAGAGAATAGATTTCAATCTGCGAACTTGTTTTAATTTAACGCCTGTTGAAATAAGCTACATAACTTATAACACGTCTTCTGTCGCTTCTTTTTCCGTTACGATATGCAAAACTACGAAAAAATGAAGAACACATATACCCACGTCCACATAATACGTGCAAACGCACATATCACGTCAGTAGACCAAATAAACAGAGGCTGTCAGTAAATTAAATTTGCATTAAAAAAAGCTATTTTCATACGGCAATTTCTCACTGATAAAACAAGTTCTCTCCAAACTTTTACTCACCAATTTTTTCTACTTCAAACATAGTTGGCAAGTTAAACTATTCTTTTCAAAACTGATAACTTTCTGCACTAAATTCCTTCTTGCCAATGTTTTCATGCAACCATCTACAATATGTATGCTACTTTTGACACTAGCAATCATCTACTGTCAACATAATCCACCTTAAAGTAAACGAACAAACGTCTTTGCTAATAAATTAATTTTTCTCGCCTGTTTCATACAATAATAATCTGTTACAAGAGTACAATAAGCTTAATAAGTATTCACACGAAAGGATAATGACAACATCAAGGAAATAATTAAGTAATGTTTGCTTATGGACACTATAAAAGCTACTATTACTGTTACATGTTATTAAATTACTAAAATATTTGACAAACTAAAGA